CATAGCAGTGTTTCTGCTGGTGAGGCCTGGGCTGCCCTGGGTGTACTCTGGGCCTCCTCTGCAGGTTCTCCCAGTGCCAGAGACCCACTGGGTAACTTTGTTAGTGTCCTTATGGGTGTGTGTGGGCCCTAACACTACTGGACCATGCAGGCGATGTAGACAGTATTCATCCAGGGACTTATGTTTTGTTGTATTGTGTTTGCTTGTTTTGCATTGCTGCAGACTGAACCCAAGGCCTCTGCACCAAACTACGTCTCCAGGCTCATCTCCAGGTTTTTTTAAAAAATGTTACTTTGAGACAGAGTCTTACAAAGTCACTAAGTTGCCCAGGATGATCTTGAGCTCACTATCCTCCTGTCTCAGCCTCCCAGGGCTCAGGTTTTGTGTGTCCTGTGTGGGGAGCTCTCTCTGACTTAGCTACCAGGTCACCTCCACTTGGGTATGAAGAAAGAGGGAAAGTTTAGATACCCTAGTGTCACATCTATGTCCGGGGTGTGACTTGCCTTGAAATATTAACCCAATTTGTTGTGCGGAGTCCTGGGTAAGAGTTCCTAATCTGCCCCAAATCCCAGCTATGTGGGGAAGGGTCCTGGTGACTGCACATAGATCCTAGACAGATGGCAAAGTCTCAGCAGGCCATCCCTTCATGTCTGGGACACCTACTGTTCCTTACTGGCTCATCTTCCCCTGTATTCTCGGTCTCAGAGGAGCACTCCTGGAGACGTCTCCATTTCCGCCTCCTCTCAGTGGGTGGTGTTTTCCTGACTCTCAAAAGTAACTCTAGATTAGGGGCATGGTTCAAAACTGGAGGGTTGCTTCTACTGGCAGAGTACTAGAAATGCCTGAGTGCCTACCTACAGCAAAATGCGTAGATGCAAAACCATCTAGAAAATAATTTGCGGCAACTTGAAAGAATGCAGTAGTCTATAGACACTGCTACAGAAAGATGTTGCTGTTGTATTGTTAAATGGAAGTGGAATTCCATATCTTGTACTACTGTCCCATTTTGAGAAAGTTCTGGATAAATGTGCCATGAACTGTAGAATTCAGTGACCATTGCTGCAAGAAGGAGAGGTATTGCTGCACTGACAATTTATACCCATAACCTTTGGGATCAGAAACCCAAATACACCTGAAGTTGTATTAAACTACAGCAGGCCCTCATTTTATTGCACAAGTAAACAAATGAGCTCCAGTTCACACATTGGGGAAATCTTCTGTGCAGAGATGTCCTGGAAAAATCACTAAAAAGTAGATCTGTTGGGTTATTGCATCAACTAGGATTCTGGGGTGAAAAGACAAAAATCCTTCCTAAGAAGAAAACAGGTATTTATAGGTAAGACACCACAGGAAGAGTGGAGCAGGCTGCCACCGGGGAGGATGGGGCGGAGGCTGGCTGCTGGGACCTGGGACAGGAAGGTACAGACCAAGTGATGGGCTTGTGGTGGTGGTGGGGTCTGGGACCCCATTCTGGCTCACTCAGCGGCCCCGCCTTCCAGTCCTGCATCCCTGTCGGGGTCCATGGGCACCATGGTGGGGATGCTCTTTCCCCCAAAGCCCAGCAGAGTGAGGAGGACAGGCTGGGTGGCCACACTGAGCTCCCCACCCAGACACAGGGTGGTTCCCCTGGGGAAAGAGGTGCTGTCAGTGGAAGATGGGACATTGAACAAGGAAAAATGCCCACCATGGTGGTTTCCAGGGCACAGACATGATTTAAGGAATCATTCACATCTCCTGTCTGTTGTGACCTACAGCACATATTCTGGAGGGACCAGTGAGGAGGGACAAGCAATACCACCCGTGACAGAATGAGACTGCACGCTGCAGGGGATTAGCTCCCTTGATGTCCCTAATACTGTTGGACCCCATGGAACCAGTCAGCCTCAGGTCCTTGCCCACGCCTGCAGCCGGCAGCGGTGCTCTACTGCCAACTGGGCTGGCAAACAGCTAACTGCCTCCCGCCTGGATGTAAAACCATCTAGAAAATGAAATGATATGCAGCAACCTGCTCTGCCCAGGAACACTGGGCAGTGCTCAGGAAGGGCCCCGAAGTCAGGCACCAGAAGAGTGGGTTAGAGCACGGGGCCTGCAAATTCCCACCCAGCCTGGTGGTCGTGTGCTGGATTCCTCACGAAGCTCCTGGGCTAGTGAATCTGAGAAAAGTGAGGTGCCGTTCAGCATCCTTAGGCTTGGCTTTGCTTTGGAGGTGGTACGAAGTTCACATTCACTCTCTGCTTTCCTGAATGCCGTCATCTGCACCTAGGTTGGTTATCGTCACTGAAGTTCCTGTGCATCCCAGTGGATTTCAGTAACATCTTCCTGAGATTAAATATTGGCGACATTGTGCTGTTTTCTGTGTGTTCACGGCTCGAAAATGCATGAGCTTGGGTTCTCCAGAGAAATGTGGGGTTGAGGACTGAAGACTTGCCCCCCACGTGATCACAGGGTACACATTGTGGAGTGGGTGACACCTGGAGACCCCTTGTCCAGACGGTTTTGTGTTCATCTGGCCTTGGACTGATGGGGCAATGCCCAAGGCAGTCTGCTTTGCCAGGATTCACTTACTGAAATGTTAATCTCATGCAGCATGAAGTATCAAAAGTGAATTGAGTGATTTTGATTATATTCATCCCAATGGGTTGATTCTACAACATGCGTTTAAAATCTGTGTTGGCTGAGCCATGAACTGCCTCCTCCATATTTCTCCAGGGTTTACTAAGTGCATCTGAGGACTCCAGCCTTTTCCAAGCTGCTGGGCCTCACAGCCTCTGCACTGGCCTCCCTGGCCCGGGCTGTACTCTTTCATTTCACTGTCTGGCGTCACCCCGCAGCAAGGTGAAGCACTAAGCCTGGAAGCAGGTGGTGTCCATGCCTGGGTTAAAATCCTCAGTGGCTTCCCATTGGACTCAGAAGATGGTTTCCCTGTCCCACTCTTGGCCTTCACACACAGGAGCTTCCGGAACTCACAGGCTCTGGCCCAAGCGCCTAGGCTAGTGCCTGAAAGACAGCTGCCCTCTCCTGGCTGTGTCCCATTCTCCTTCCGGTCCTGTATCACATGCTACTTACTGCTTGGAGGCTGCCCAGATGGGAACCCGGTGACCTTGCATTTTTCTACTTACTCAAAACATATTTATTGAGTCTTGTAGGCCAGACAATGAGCCAGGACCTGAGGATATATCCACAAATTAAATAAAGGATGTGACTCTTCCTGAGCTGTGTGCAGTGATTGCTTCTGTCTTTTCATGGGTCATTGCTACGCATTAGTGATGGTGTGTTCTCCTGAGACCAGGGTGACTTTTACATATTAGCACATCAGACACCTACAAATATCATACGTATTTAATAAGTATTTGATGAATAAATACATGAACGAGCAGAGCTGTTTAGTGTTTTGTTGCTGACTGGCCTCCTTATGCCGATCCTGTTCCTCCCTCCTTTTCTGCTGACCCACAGTGCAAATATCCGTGATCTCTCCTTTTCTTTGCCTCCCAAACTACCGCTGCTCAATCCTTATCACACTTGGGTTCTTTGATGGCAGCAACCAATGCTCATCTGTCTTTATATTCCCCAAATTTTGTTCATTCCTTGAATATACTAGCTGCTCGATAAATAGTGAGGTGTGAGTCAGCAACTCATAGCAAGCGCTTGAAGTCTTTAGATTTGGCTGCTCAGGGAAAGATTTCTGCACATACAGGCTCTTTACTCTGGGTAAGTTTGGTCCTGCTTACAAATGTATGTTTTGTGAAAACCAGTATGGATCACCCACAAATTTTTGGAGACCCAGGTGTCTGGTGGGATTTAGTTACTTGCTATTTGCATAATACAAACATTTCAGGTTATTTGTTACTTGTATGACATGAATATTTCAAAATTATATGATCCTCAGTAACAACTCTATTAGCTCAAGAATAAGTTCTGGGGATTAATTTCCTTAGAACAATGCTGTTACCACAGTTGCTGCCTACACGTATTAAGTGTGTTTAGAGTCGAGTTAATTATAATTTGATAAGGCTGGGTTACTTTGGTGGATGAAAAAGCAAGTTTGACCTGAGGTCTTTGGGCAGACATACTGCTAAGTCCTGTAATAATTTAACTAGTTCTGGCTCTGGGTCACAGCACTCTTCAGGGGAGATGGTGCTACCAAAGCAACTTTATCTATAGATTTTTTCTCAGATCTTTTATCAGTCAAAGATTCCTGGACCAGACATCTACACCAAGCCAGTCTCCTTGCTAATCTCCCGATTTTGACGTATGCTCCCTCATGACTCATTGTGTTTCTGCTTATCTGGTTTCTTTTCTTCACTCTAGTCCTACAACTGAATGCTGCCTTGGTTCCCTATAATCTGGCTCCTCTTCCCTGCCTTTTGCTCTCCATAGCTCAGTGTTTTTAGGAATTGGGATTATCCCCTTTTTCCCCAGTTCCCATAACTGAGTCTTTGCTTCATGCTATTGGATGTCTTAGTATTCACAGCTTACTCGTAGGAGACTGCAATGAACAGTGTAAGTTGTGAAGAATGAATCCTACAACTGGCTGCCTACAGATGTGAGTCTGGCTGAAGCCTATGTACCAAGGTCAGAGTAACTCACACCCAAATTCTAATCCCACAACTAAATCCTTACCAGGAGGACAGTGTTCTAATTACAACCATATATTTTGTTTATTCTGTTCCCAATTTGAGAATGCTTTGTCTTTTACTTCATGAGTCTTGCTTAATTTCCATAGAAGCCACACAACTGCACATCCTCACACATAGTGCTGTCCTTGCACGTAGCTCTCCTTTGCCCCAATTGATTACCAATAAAAATCAGTGGCTTGCACCAGCCAGTGCCTTTGTCAGTTGCACCAGCATTGGTCATCCTGGCACCCCAGTTTCTGTCTTAGTTCTCTCTTTCAGTTTTTTCCCTCGGGCCTGTTTTGTACACGGAGTAGGAGATCAGAGTCAGAGCCTACTGCAGAGGTCTCCCCAGTAATGCTTCAGGGGTCCCCAGTACTTACCCACCTTGACATCTCCTTTTCAGGTGGTGCTAACCTTCCGGCTATCCTTGGGGTCTCTGGAATTTAGCCTTCCCCATCTGAATTAGCTTAGTTGTTGTAGGAACATCTTCTCTCTGCTACGGTAGCCAGCTCTTTACTGGGTTTGGACAGAGACTATGGAAAACAGAAAGAAAAGAAGAAATGGGAGAGGAAAGAGGAGTGAGGAAGAGAGAAGTTGGTGTGTAGAGTTTTTCTGACTCTTATCAGTTGGCTAGCAGGAAATGAGCTAGGCAGGACAAGTATGAATACTGACATACTATCACAATAAACTCAGAAATCCATGACTAAAGTAGTCACTGAGGCCTGAATGCCTGAGCAAAGTAAAATGAATCCTGAGAAACTAATACTAATCCAAACTCTCTGGGGTTATATCTATTTCCTGAGATTTTCAGTTATAGGAAATCATCATCTGTCCAAGCAGAAAAGCAATGTAACTTGGGTCTCAGTCTACTAGGGAAACTACATGTTTAATGTTCCCTTAATAGGAAACTGGAGCTCTGTCCTCTTCAGTGACACCTGTCAAATTCCTGCCACATGAGCCCACTAAGCTTCTGAGCCATCACTCATTTGAATGGAAGGCTAGTACTGGAGCTGCTATTTTCTTTTCAAAAGTGCATGCTGATCAAACACACACTTTCCCTCACTCTTCCTTGTGATCATGGGAATATTAGTGAAATTATCACTCTACAATTCTAGCCACACAGTCATAAAAAGCTGATTGAATCTTCTTAGAATTGTTTTTCTCTTGGTCAGATCTAAATAGAGTGGCTCAGAATTTTGGGTGTGTTAGATACAGTGGATCATCCTCAAATACAACAGTGTTTTAATCAGCTTCTCCATCACTGGGGCAAAGTACCGGACATTCACAACTTAAACGAGGAGAGGCTTATTTGGTTCAATGATTGAGAGATTTCACTGTGTGGTTGGGTGGCTCCAAAGTGGAAATCATAACCCGAGAGTATGGTGGAGCAAAGCTGGTCACTTCATGGTGGCTGAGAAGTAGAGCCCAGAACAAGACATACATCCTCTAAGGCAGTGCTCCCGGTATCCCACCTCCTCACAGCACACTCGGCTATGGACATCAGTGGATTCACCCACTGATGCATACATCACCCCTGTCATCCAATCACCTCTTCAGCATTCTCCTAATCCAAACTGACAATTAACTGATACAAGTCCACCTGTGTCAACTGTACACCTAATTGCATATTCTTAAACCACGCAAAGTCTCCAAATAAAAACAACAAAGTTATAATTCCACCTAACATGATGTGCATACAACCATAAATAAAATTGTTCCTTCCCAAAGTCTCAACAGTTCCAGCATTGCTTAAATGTTCAAGAAGCCCAAGTCTCCTCTGAGATTCAAGGCAAATTCCCAGCTGTGAATAATTGTAAAAATAAAAAAGTCACACATTATTCCCAAGACACAGTGGTAGAGAGTAAACATTCCATCCCCCAAAGAGAGGCAGAGGAAGATAAAGAGTAAGATCAAAGAAAGAGTGAAAGCCAGCAGTGCAAGTATGAAGTTCTGTAGCTCCATACCTGACATTTGGGGCACGTGGTGAGATGCGAGTTCCCGAATGCTGGGGCAGCCACACCTATTAGTTTTACAGGTTGCAGCCCACACAGCCTCTCTCTTGGGCTGGTTCCACTTGCTGCCTGGGCAAACACTCAACGCTCCTGCAACTCCAACTTCACTGGTCTCCACTGCACCTTCAGGTTCACGCCCACAGCTTCACATACAGCCTTTTCTGGCAGGAGCTCTGATCTTGCTACACTTTGCCTGGTCTCCCAGACCTTCATTTGAAAGCTTGATGGAAGCCTCCAAAACCTCACAACTCTGATGCCAGTAAGAGCAGTACTGTAACAGACAATGTCAGTGTCTGCCATGAACTGAAGCAGTAGCCACATCCCCTTGGATCACCATGAAGTGGTCACAGAGTACCTGAATGCCTGAGCAGAGGAAAATGAATCCTGGGAAACGAATACTAATCCAAACCAGGCCTAGTAGGTCTTTCTTGAACAAGGTACCTGTTGCAAGCCGGCGATGCAGAGCACTGTCCAGCAGTGTCTCAAACCTGAAAGAGCATGGGGTGGAGATGGGGCACAGTGAAAGGAAGGACGCCAAGACAAGAGTCTGATCAAGGCGACGTTTATTGCAGGCAGGCATCAGCCTTTTAAAGGAAAAGACCGAACTATTATGGGCTAGGATTACCATAGTAACCTCAACACCCGCTCCACGGGAACAAGGGTTCATACGGGAAAGGGAAAGCAGGCTCAAGAAAAACAAATTAACAACACTTGCAACTAATAATCATGATTCCCAAATAGGTGGAGGAACTTAACAAAATGGAGTTACAACACCTGACTCCTACAGATAACGTCAGATCTTTAACAGGAAGCACCTTATTCCTACAGAGCTTTGGCTGTCCGAGTTTCTCCCGAGCAGGGTCAAAAACAAGTTTAACACGTGCAGTCCTTAAAAAGGAACAAATGTTATCTTTCAAAAAGCCAGTGGGCCATGGCTGGCTTCCCACAATTATGGGCTAGGATTACCATAGTAACCTCAACACCTGCTCCACAGAAATGAGAGTTCACGCAGGAAAAAGAAAACAAGCTCAACAAAAACAAGTTAACAACACTTGCAACTGATAATCATGATTCCCACACTAGGTGGAGGAACTTAACAAAATGGAGTTACTAAAGTTAACAGCACTTGCAACTAATAACCATGTTGCCCACAGGTACCCACAGACTCTTATCTTAAATGAAAGTTTAACACTTTTGCATCCTTGAGCCTGAGATGAGTGGGATTTTGCTGATTCCCGAGATACCCTCAAGATGTCTTTCTCCTTGTCCTGGTTCAAAGTAATTGGTTTCTTTTTAGTGAAAGTAATCTCTTCAGCCACTACATTTCTTTTGGTTCCAACTTTATATGTGGTCCTCTTTGGGTCAACATTTAAGTTTTTCTTTTTTTTTTGGTACCGGGGATCAAACTCAGGTCCTTGCACTTGCAAGGCAAGTGGCAGAACCACTGAGCTAAATCTCCGGCCCTAACATTTACGTTTTTAAAATGGTTTTTCTTTGCTTTTTGTTCCCTGTTCTCACTATAAATCTGGTTAAAAGCAGTCAGCAGTACTCATATCATATTGGGCTGTCTTGAAATTTCCTCTGTTAGATTAGTTAGTTGGTAGCCTTTAAGCTCAGCCTCACGAAGTTTTAAGGCATGGACAAAACACAGACAAACTTTTCCCAGAGTGTGTGGGAAGCCAGCCATGGCCCACTGGCTTTTTGAGAGACAACATTTGTTCCTTTTTAAGGACTGCACGTGTTAAACTTGTTTTGACCCTGCACGGGAGAAACTCGGACAGCCAAAGATCTGTAGGAGTCAGGTGCTTCCTGTTAAAGATCTGATGTTATCTATAGGAGTCAGGTGTTGTAACTCCATTTTGTTAAGTTCGTCCACCTATTTGGGAATCATGATTATTAGTTGCAAGTGTTGTTAATTTCTTGAGCCTGCTTTCTCTTGCCCGTGTGAACCCTCGTTCCCGTGGAGCGGGTGTTGAGGTTACTATGGTAATCCTAGCCCATAGTAGTTCGGTCTTTTCCTTTAAAAGGCTGATGCCTGCCTGCAATAAACGTCGCCTTGATCAGACTCTTGTCTTGGCGTCCTTCCTTTCTCTCTGCCCCATCTCCACCCCGCTGCTCTTTCAGGTTTGAGGTACTGCGGGACAGTGCTCTGCGTCGCCGGTTCACGACAAGAGTGTAGCATGAATAACCTCTAGTCCAATTCCCAATATATGCCTTGTTCCCATCTGAAATCACCTGAACCTGGCCTGTGCTTTCCTCATTGCTATCAACTTTTTGGTTTTCTGAGTCTTAGCTGGAATCATCCACCAGGCCCTGCTCACAGCATTTTTAGGACTTCTCCAGCCCATTTCTCCAGTTTTCCAAACTCCGCTGACAAACCATTCCAAAGGCTTCTTAACCATAGAGTCAGGTATCAGTTTTTTGTTTGTCAGATTTTCCCCTGCTGGAACAAAATACATGCCACCCGTAACTTCAGGAGAACAAGGTTATTTGGATCACTCATTCAGAGGGTTCAGTCTATGCTCGGCTGCTTCTAACACAGCAACGTCGTGGCAGAAGGGCCTGGCGTAGCAGAGCTGCTCTAGTGGTAGCTGGGAAGCAGAGCGCAGGGGAAAGCTCCGGGGAAAGCAGTACCCTCAAAGGCAGCCCCCAGTTCTGCAGGTCCAACAGGGCCCACTTGCTAACGTCACTTTCAGCTGTGAACATCCCCAGGTTCCCTCACTGATGAGAATAGGAAACCCCTGGTTCTGTTACAGTACTTTACCAGAAGTCTCACAATCCAGTTAAACTGACAATGAAGATAAATTGGCTCCTGTGGTAAATAGCTACGAATGAGCACTTACCGTGAGCTAGGTGCAAGGTGTGCTGAGAAAGAGCCTCAGTGAAACCAAAAGCAAAGCCCTGTTGTATTGTTGCCAGTTCCCATGTGTAATATTCTCACTGTGCATGGCCATTTTCAAGCTACCAAAGTTGGGAAGAGCTGAGAATCAGAATTGGAAAGAGATATGCAGGGGAGTTCCCACATACGAGTAATCAGTGCCCCAACACACAGCAGGCATTTCACAAACACTGTTGCTTACTGTCCCCAGGACCTCCCTAGACAGGTCCCCAGAATGAGGGTCAGAGAGATCAAGCAGTAATTCCAAAGCTCCACACTGACCAGAGGAATGTCGGAGATTTGTGTAGATCAAATATATGCCCATTCATGGCTGTGAAAATTTAAGAATCTACTTTTTTAAAAATTTTGGATGGTGCAAAGAGGTGTCCTGAATCTACAACATTTAATTTCCTAAGATTTAAAAATTTCACAAAAATATATTCTACCTTTCCATAGCCAGAGGGAAGTAAAGAATACTTCTCTTGCTAATAATGTTCTGATTCTCAGAAAAGTGAAAAAAAAAAAAAGAAAAGAAAAGGAATGTACGTAATAAATGCTGTCAACAGATAGAAATGGTGGGTGGCATCCCATCAATTTTTCTCAGGCTGATATTTTGTGACCCAGCCACTTTCCAACCTTCGAATGTGTCTGTGAGTTCTTCATATGCTCTATGAATTCAAAATTAAATTGCTGGTACCTTAAGTGCAGTGTTTCCATTTTCTTATGCTACAGCAGTTCGTTTTTTCTGAATCAAATGTATTTGCACCTTTTGCAGAAATACTCACTTGGGGACCCAGACCTCTGCTCACCAGCAAGGGAAGCTTGTATTGGCTGTTACACGCAGAAGAAAAGGCTTCCAGGATGCCACTGAAGGAGACACACACACACACACGCACTCATTCACTGGAGTTTGTCAAGAGTTGATGGGTTATAATAAGTTAAGCCATTTTCCTGAATAGTATGGTGATCAAACGGGTCTCTGTGTGCAGAGAATGTCTCTGTCATTAGACAAAAATGTTCAGTATTACTTTCTTCTGGGAGGAGTGTGGAGAGGGAATTACCATTTTTAATGGTCATAGGTTTTTTATAAAGCCAACTTTGTTGTGCACGAATAACCTGAAATAGGATACGTCAGTTTGGAAAATGAATTCACAAAAGGACAGGAAACACAGGTGGATTCACACATGCTAATGTCTCCAGATGGCACTTGACACAGGGCAGTCCTGTCCTCAGCTCCTCCTGCACCTGCATGCCTCGCAGTTCAGAGGGCATCAGAATAAACCAAGTGTGCGTGTGCAAACTTTACTGTAGCAGAGTGATTCTAAAGGAGTTCACACCAGGGGGAAGTTCGAGCCATTTCCTCTCCATTTCCCCCAGTTCCCTGTTCACAGTTACTTTAAAAAGCAGTGATCAAAATATACAGTAAATCTTTAAATTAAAAACCTTTGTTACAGTAAAAGACATTGCCGTTAATCCCCTACCAAACACTTCCCCTGGCTTTGAACACACTCATCCCATCGTTCTTACTGCTTTCTGCCGCAGTGTGGGAAGTCCTCCTTCCTGAGGGTCTTCGTAGGGTGCGACCAAAAATACAGGGACTTGCTGGCAAGCACCATCCAATGGAAAGGCAGGCTTCTAAAAACATGATTCTGTGTCCCCATGCATCTCATTCACTAGATCTGGCACCATATGACTTCCGGCTGTTCCCAAACATCAAGATGACCATAAAAAGGGAATGTTTTGGATAGATTCAGGACACTGAGGCAGCCATGACAGTGGTGACTAAAGATGGATTTTCACAAAAGACTATTTCAGATACGCTTTAGAAAGTAGCAAGAATGGTGGCACAGTGGCCGGGGATTTAGCTTAGCTATGCCACCACCTGCCTTGCAAACAAAAGTTCCATCCCGGGTACCAAAATAAAAACAAAACGAATGATGGGCCTAAGTGCTTGAGGTGAGGGTGAGGGTTTAGAGGGGGATTCATAGCAGTGTGTCTTTTACCGTAATACTTTAAAAAAATTAAACACTCACTGTAGTTTTCGATCCCAACGCTTACTTGTTAAGAGATGGGAAAGGACAAAGGAGAGATCGGTGAGAGGTTGCGGGAGCATCCGGGCATTCCCTGGGATGCATCCGGGCATTCCCAGGCCTGCATCCGGGCATTCCCAGGCCTGTGTCCTTTTCCAGCTGCTCTTTGGCCTCTTAACCAGAGCTTGCTCCCCTCAGATCGGCCGTTTCACACTGTTGCCCCCCACCCCCGCCCACCCCTTCAGCGCCAGCTTCTGGGAGACTATTTCCATGACGACCGGAGTAACACCTCCAGTCTGCCACCTCCTAACTGCCGAGATAAAAGGGTAAAGGAAAAACAAGGTAAGAGAAGCTAGTCATCCGTGTGTGAGTTTAAAAGGAATCACAATTTAATCACCAGTAATTATTTAATACCACCACTCAAATCAAACGGTCCGATTTTACTATGCCTTTAATG